TGGAAGTTGACCCTGACTTCTCTGTGAAGAAAAAACTACAGGGTATGGAGAATATTCAGGAAGCAACTGCAGTGTAAGAAAGGTGGATAGAAGATTGGGATGGTGAGAAGTTCCAGGATTCTGGAGATATTTTAAAAGCAAAGGCTGTATCATTTGATAATTTAATGTGAGCATGAGAGAAAGAACAAAGTCAAAGATATCCCCCAGGTCTCTAACCTAACTGGTAGAATGGAAAATGTTAAATTGGGGAAGAGGTAGTGGAAGGAGACTGGGGGGAAATTCTTTTCCCAGTGAACAGGCCTGGGACACCTGGGAAAGGGCCTTGCCCCCCAGCATAAGCTCCCTTCTCTCCCTACCTTCTAATTCCTTTGTCTCTGTAGAGGCTTGAATCTGTGAGGGTTCCATTCGCTCAGCCTTCCACCTACTCCTCCTTCTAGTTGCCCAATCTATCAACAACCCTCCTTTCACTCTGCTCCCCTTTCTTTTTCATTGAACAATAGCCTACTAAATGCTCACTGTGCAGTTCATGTGCTTTACATGTTATCATCTTGCTTCCTCTTTGCAACAACCTTAAGAAAACTGGAGTCTCTGAGTTTAGGTAGCAGGCCCAGTGTCATAGACCTAGTGAGTGCCAAAACCAGGATTTAAATCCAGCCCTGTCTAGTTATAAAGCCTGTCCTTAATCAGAGTACAGTCCTAAACCTGGAAGTGACCCCAGAAATACTGCTCCCTCCTGCCAGCAACTAGCTTTCTCCAGCGCGTCACTCTTTTCTTAGTAAGACTGACTCCAGATGTGTGTCCTCCCAGATAATGTCCTTCAGAAACTCCCAGACTCCTGTCCCTTCCTATCCCAGGAAGGATGTGAACCCAGATCCTCTTGCCGTGAGATCTTGTCTTCTTCCAACTCCTGCTGGACCCTGAGATCCTTCATTACCACTTTCCATAAGGAAGGGAAAGGCGGCTTTTCTGGAGCAATCCAGAAGGGTTTTGGGCAATAAGACCTAACGACCTCTGGTCCAGGCCCCTACCCTTAGGAAACAAGAACACAAGCACAAAAGCAGAGGTAGCCCCTCTGCCCAGACTCTGTCCAGTGGTCAGTACCCTGGAGTATCTTATCTCCTAACTCATTCAGGGTGAGTGCAGATGCCAGAGGCCTTGGGATTTTGAGGTAAGCAGGAACATTGTGAATCAAAAGTGTTCCCTGGTGCCACCTTATGAGTCCTCATGGTCTCTGAGAGGCAACTGGCAAGGACAAAGAAAAAGGCACAAGAGTTTCTGTGATTTCCTCTCAGTTACCCAACTAATTTAGTCACAAAACTGTACCTTAAAACCAGGTGTCCTGTGCATTATCCCCCAATCCAGAATATCCTTAATCAGGGTCTCCACATTTGATCAAGAGAAACAGGGAACTGAAGATAACTGCATGTTCTTGGGTAAATCTCCACTGCTCTCCTAAGCCAGTAGGGTGAGGTCTATTTGGCTCTTCTACAGGTAACTGCCTGTAGAATTCTTTCTGCTGGCTGCCCGGCGATACTTGCCTGGAAGGTACCATCTCCTGTCAGTTACCTGTCTGTCAAAGCTTCTACTTCCTTCCCCAGGGTATTTCTCTGACAAGCTGCCACTTCTCCTGACCAGTAAAAGTATATGCTGGGCAAAACGCCTTTTCTCCCTCACTCCACTGAGGGCACAGAGGATGTGCTTGATCAGACTTGCAGAGATCCTAGGAGCAAATGGATTGAGTTGGCAGCTACAGTAGCAGAGACTCGGAGAGCCAATTCAGATAATATCCTAGGGGCTGGGAAAAGGGATCAGGAGACATGTTCTGAAGTGAGACCCAAGATGGAGGCAGCTCTCAGTCCTGTCTGCAAAGTCTGACATGCGCTGAGGTGCAAAGCTTGGATCCCGTTAGGCTTCTGCTGCGTGGCCATTCAAAACCTTCCAGTTTTCGATTTGTATCTCTTAATGCAAGTCTCATAAAGACTTCCACCTGCTCCTTACACTTTGTTGCAAAAGAAAGTTCCCCCAGGCTTAAGGCGGCTCTGCTTAGGGGGTAGAGATTGGGTATTTTTTTCCTGCAAAAACCAAATTTTGGAGTCAGCAGTCTTGCAATAAAGTCTTGGCTCTGTTACTTATCAGCTGTGAGGTGAGAACAAGTCACTATAAATAAGCTTCAGCTCCCTCACCTGCAGAACAGGATTATACTTTCCAACTTCTAGGAGTGCTGGGGAATTGCAGGCATGGTGCTTATGGTGCTTATGGTGCGCAGCAAAGGGCCTAGCGTCCAATGGGCGCTCACTATTCCGCACATCGCTGAAAGGACAAGGCAGAAGGCATGTTCCCTTGATAGCCTGTCTGCTAGGTCCATGGCGGATTCCTGAGTGGCAGGGTGAAAGGCTGCACCGGGAGGTCTGCTTGTCCATGTGATAAGTGAGAATAATAATTCTTCCCTCCCATGATGGAGGGTACCTGCTGCTCGTGTGCCCTCACCCCCTTGGGAGGGAGGCTCACCACACAAATGCAAGGCTGCATTTATAAAATCAGAGGAACAAAAATGAACTCCACCACAATGTTGCCTTTAGCAACCTGTTCTTTTCTACCCACTCAGACCTTTGTGGTGTTTCAATGACAAAGGGGATCGGTTGCCAACCTTGTTATTCCATTTTGGGCAGGGGAGCTGAGCTCCCCTACCCCTCCTCTTTCCCATTGTCAAAGACCACCCAGCGAAACTTGCTGGCAAGCTGCCACAGTCCAGACAGGCTGAAGCCAGGCCTCACTACCCAATCTCCCTCTCTACAACAGAGGGCTACAGAATAAAAAGCACCTGATTGAAGGGCTTTCACCTGAAGCTGACTTGGCCTTTTTAATGGCAGACTACCAAAGGTGTCCAGGAAGCATTCAGGTGTCATCTTTGCAGGCCTGTTCTTTGGAAGCTCCATTAGAATCTAACCCTTGCCTTTAACACAGCAGATTTTTATATAATGTGTTTACTACAAAGCATCAATTCATAGTAGACAGCTATGAGTTTCCATCATTTTATGTTATCTCACTTGAAAAAAGGGGCACTGTGCTGATGGAGAGCATGATGAAATCCCTCTCAGGAGGCACGGATACATAAAAAGGAAGAGCTGCTATCACCCCACTGTGGGGTGATAATCATTAGAGAGAAAAGTGGAAAGAGAATCAGGAGGGGAGATCATTTGTGAAATAATTAAGAACAGAACCCCCCAATTTTCCTCTCCAATTAACTGTGACCCATGCCTAATAAATCTGCTGGGATATTAATGCTGGGTAAGTTCAGACTAGTAAAAGCACTGAACTGGGGCTATTCTGGAAAACTATGGCAGGTCGAGGGAAGGGGAAGGGAGGTAGGTCTTCAAGAGTCCATTTCAATCTGGGGAGTGGGAGACCTCTAAGGTCAGTCAGTTTCACATGCTTTCTCACCTGCTGCTCCCATCTTTTCTGACAATTTCCTCTCCTCATTCCTGGGCAACTGGAGAGCTAAGCCGCTTCTGTTTGTCCCTAAAATCTATGTCCCCTTACTTGCTATTCTGGCAATCATTTCAGAGCCAAGCAAACCTACTGCAGACAGTAGTACAAAGGGCACATGGAAATGAAAGGTTAAAAGCTGAATTCAGGCATATGTTTCTAGAATATGTTTCTCAACTAAAACCTGACTTGGACAAGAAAGAGAAAAAAAAAAATCACACATTTTTTCCTTTTCCCCACTGAAAGCTATTTAGTAACTGGTTGTAGAGAAACTGTCTCAAGACTCAGGTTTCTGAGATTCTGTATTCAATGCAGAGATTTCAGTTTTTAACTTCCTCAAATTTAAAAAAATATATATATGCTCTGAACTTGAACTCTCCTGTTCCAAGGAGAGGAACAGCAGATTGCCTGTGGAGAAAGAGTTAAGTTTTCAGAAAATCATGAATATGTAGAGGTGGAACATTGCAGCCAGGTCCAACTCTGCCCATAAGATTCAGCCTGAGATGCTGACTCTCCTCCCTCAGGACACTTTATTAACTGGCCCAACCAAGGGCCTGAACACTGCAGTTTGTCCTGCAGGGCCCTGCATTTCCCTTCCCTTCAGTAATGGAATTTTAAGTGGCGTGGACTCTGGTATTGATTTCAGACACATAGTGAGTGCTCAATAAAAGCCTGTTGAAAGGATGAAGGCTCCTATCTATACACACGTCATCACCCTCATCTCGTCCCGTGCTGTCCAACTCATTTTAGAGGACAATAAACATTCCTTTGCCATACTTTCTGCTTCTCAGCTTTGTTTGAGTTCGTTTTCATTCAGTCCTACTGACCTCTGATGTACTTTCCTATTTTAACCAGGATAACTAGTTGAGACCTTCTTCAACATTTTCTCTGGCAGCTGATTTGAGTTCACTGAGTGTTATTGGTGCTGATCTTTCTCCTGTGATTTCCTCTACTGCCCACTAATCCTGTCCTAAACATCAAAGGCCTTCTTTGAAGATAAGGCCAAATTCACCATTAGGAAAAGAGAAATTATTTCCTAACTTTATTTCAGAAGATAGGACGACACGGAATCCTTCTGGGTTTTGTGGGATAAACACTACCCGGTACATCAGATCACCAGGCGTTCGCTGTAATACCACTGACAGAGACATAAACACAGGGCTTCCCTCCGAGCCCAAGTCTGAGCCAGGCTTCTCCACAGCAGCCTCAGACTCCAAATCCCAAAGTAAATGGTTTGAATCCAACACGTCCAAAAGCAAAAGGGCGGGGATAGGGAGGGGTAAGGGTAGGGACAGAGGTTCATATGGCCACTTCAGGGCAGACAGGTCATTAAGGCTCTGACTAAACAGTATCTGAGTTGAATTAGAATCAACCGGTTTAATTCAGATTCTGCTCAACTCAGGACATTAGCAATAGTAAAACATGAGAAATTCTGTCTTTACATACAACACAACCTGAAAAATCTGACCGGTCCCATAGACCAGAGATAGTAGACTGTGGGCAGAAATCCTCACCTGTTTCTACTTCACTGTTGCTACCCTCAGGCGTTGCGAATGTTGACAGGACTTCATGGGTCATGAGTTCCAGAAAGCTTGTTCTAGGACTGAGGAAAAAGAGATGTGTTTCATCTTCTGAACAACTAAGAAACAGTTTTGAAGCATTACTTTTTTTTATAAGGCACACTGTTATATTCCTTATTAATACATTTTATAATGGATTAAAGAGAAAAAGCAGTTTTTCTAAGATCACCAGCTTACGTAAATCTTCAGTTACCTGACTTCTTCCTAAAATATGAAAGGAACAATCAAGGACAATGATTACATTCGTCTGTTGATCTTACAAAACCATAAACTTTGCATCTAGCAGTCCACTTTCATCAATATTCATCAAATATGCTTACAGAGATAGGCTTCATACAATGTGGGGCTTGTAGGGAGGAGGTTCGAGGTGGTAAGGCTGCAAGCAAGGAATGAACCCAACAAAACACTGCAGTCCAGCTACTTGATAGGTCAACCTGGCTTCAACTGATGCAATAGTGTCATGAGGTGGACCCAGTCATATGAAAGACAGCTGAGAAGGCCAGATTGTAAACTTACACAGTTAAGCTGGGTGGTTATTCTTTTATGGGAGTGATGGAGGAATGAGTGGGGTGGCAACAGGAAAACAGTGGGGGGGTCTAGCCATGTGTCAGCACCAATTGTCAAGGGCATGAACAAGCTCGGTGGTAGCAGGACTGGGAATGATGGTACAGAGGGTGGAATAATAAAAAGGCAAGAAAAACTGAACAGGCTCAGGGAGGGAGTCTAACTCAGTGCACTGGAGACACAGAGAGCAATTAGTTCAGTGGTTTCAGTTCCTGTGCATGGAGTTGACAGGCAGAGCCAAGACTCCCAACTCAATTTTCCCAATCCTAAGGGCAGTGCCACTTAACTGAACTCTTTAAATCCTGCTTCCTGCATTCCACCTCACCTCTCTATACCTTACCAAGCTTGCGGGCTCTAGAAGGGTAAAAAGTCCTATTTAGGAAGGCATTTTGTAAACATCCATTTCAATTTAAAAACAAACACTCTGCTCTATCCCAAGCCTGCAGTATTTGATTCAGCTTCATAACTGATGAAAACATTACAGGTGAAGGCTCCATGGGGGAGCACTTTTAGGAGTTAGGTCATTCTTAACAATAGCAGAATTTTTGGTCCAAAAATGTACAGGACTGTCTGACTACAAATGAGTATATTTTTGTCTCAGCTATGTGAAAAGTAGGTCTGTACATGGATGAACAAAAACAGGTTGCGTTGTGGGATTGTGGGTAATTAAAAGCTTTTTCTTTATTATTAGTAGGGGATTGTGCAATAAATAAAAATTGGAAGGGGCAATTTAGAGAACCACCCTTTGACTAAGAAAGCTTACTCTCCTGGGACAGGAAAGCTCCCAGCCCAGGGTCTGATGTACTATAAACATTTGCTGAATTGAAATATAGAGATAACAAGAAGTTTCCTAAGTTAAATAGATCTTTTTAAATACAACAAATCACTTTCCTTCCTTCCCTCCCCAATTTCCTGCCCTCTCCCCTCTTTCATATTTTTCCAGATAGCAAGAAGACTTGGCACTTGAAGGGGCGAAAGCACACACCGAATGTATACTGTGCTTTGGTGCCAAGTGAATAGTTTCTTATCCAGAGGTCATAAAGTACTAGAGGTGATTATCGGGTGCTCTTGGGCCTTCTTTGGCATCTTCTTACTAGCATGAAAGGCAGGGAGAGAAACCCTTATTCACTAACCATGTCAGCGACTGCTGAGATCTGAATCCAGACCCCTCCTGCCCCATGGAATATTGTGACCTAGATAGACTTCCTTGCTTAAACTATGGCGGTCCCTGGAGAAGTCAATTGAATTATTTCGTGAGTAAAATATCCTGCTCCTTCTTAAGGCATGGAAACCACACATTAGTTGCTGGAGAGAGCTGGGAGCCCAAACACTTGAAAGAGCACTTCAAAGAAAGGAGAATCTTTGGACCCATTTGGGGAATGGAAAGGACATAAATCACCCTCTTATCACAAGTTGACCAACCAATTAACAGCCAAGCAGGGTCCTCTCTGTTTTCTTTCCACCCCCCACCCCTTCCCAGCTGTGGTTAAGGAGCCAACCATCCTGGCCTCTATTAACCAACTCTCCCAAGTAAAGCCAACACCTGTGGCTTGGGCAATTTCTCCTGAGAACATTTTTCTGGTAATGTTGCCCTTCTGAAATCTCTTGAAAGAGAAAGAAAGGGATAGTGTCTAACATCTCAATTGTGGAATTTCATAGGAATTGACAGCCTCCAGCTTCCTGAAGGGCCAATCTCGAAGCAATAAATCTACGGGAGGGGGGGGGGGCAGGTGTGTCAACAAAGTGGTGCAATGAGCAACTCTCACTTCTTCCATTTTTACCTCTTTCCATAAACTCACTCCAAAATCTCATCTGGCAGGGAGATCATAATTCAACCACTGTTTCCACCTTGCCTGTGTCCCACTGACCTCAAGGTGCTTCGAGATTACCATGGGAACCTTCTGGGTTTCAATTATGAGACCATTAAAAAGTGCCAATTATAAGTCCTCAGAAATGTTCCTGGGAAACCTGTTACACACCTCAAAATGGCCAAGCTCTTGCCTCAGTTCCCTTACATAAAGTTCAGCAAACAGGTCATCCAGATGTTATGGGTGCCCCAGCCCCCACTTCAGTCCAACAACACTGTGTTTTAGTATTTTGCAAGCTGCCCTTGAGAAAGTAGAGACTGATTTATTGGCTGTAACCAAAGGAATGAAAAAACCCTCACAGAGGTGGGCTGTGATGTCATGGAATGGATCAGAAATGTTTACGCATTAAGAATTTTTAAAATGACATTTATTCAGTGGCGAATGTTTGCAAGTTCTGGCAACAAAGAACGAAATGACAAATGTGGGCTGAGCACTTGGTAGTGGCACAAGGACCCGAAACCAAAATGTACTTTTCACTCAGTCCACTCAGAGAGGTAAGACTGGTGCAAAATTTTATGCAAAACAGCTTGAAGTTGTCCAGAAGGGATGGAGGAACAGCACAACACCCCACCACACCCAGAAAGTGCCTGTTTAGGACTTGCTGGTGTGCGGTTTGGGTATTCTTAGCTCTACTGCCACATCTCTAGAGAAGAGGACAGCCTTTCAAGCAACCCTCACTGCCACCCCGTCCCCAAAACAAAACAAATGCGAGGGCTCCTTAAGTTTCTTCACGTTTGCCTGTCAACACGCCATTCTTTAAAAATCTCCTGTCACCTGGAAAAGCAAACTAACATTGGGCTCCCTGAAAGCTAAACAGATCCTTCAAAAATCCAGCAGAGAATTCTTGCTGGGCTCCTCCACCCTCCCCAAAACTCCTTCCCACTTGTTCTAGCGGTTCTTTCACCCACCTCACAGTTACACAAAACCCCCAAGAGCACAACCCCAGGAGGACACCGCACCCCCACTCCCCCCCCCACAATCCCTCTCGCCGCTGCGCCAGCCCCCCACGCCACAGGCACCTTGGGACACCCCACTTCAGCCTCACCCCCCAACCTCTCCGGCTCAGGATGCTTTTCTGGGGCTGTTTCGCTCCGGATCCGGTCTGCTGGGTCCCTCATCTTACCATGTTCCCTTAAAAACGCCAACCCAATAAACTCTCACCCCCACAAGAAGCCGAATGGGTGTTGGATGGTTCCATCAAGTTGCCGACCCCGAGGTCCCATGGATGTTTCCCCACGGCCTGGCGCAAATGGCTAAAGCGCCGCTGTCAACCTTCGCGGGAAGCCTGGAGGCTGTCCCGGCCCTTCTTCCACCCGAGAAGCTTCCGGGAACCCGGGGCGCACCGGCTCCGCCGGCACCGCGACCCCACGGGCCCGCGCGCCCGCACCCCGCCGCCCGCCGCGCCCCTCCCCGGCCGCAGCCCCACGCGAGTCCCGGAGCCCCGCGCCACCCCGGGCTCCCGCGGCCGGCGCGCCCCCAGCGACGCCCGGCCCGAGGCCGCCTCCCACCCCCTCCTCCCCAATCCAGCAAATAAACGCAACTTTTTATGAAAAGAAAACAAACTTCAGCGCCGTGACTCACCTCCGGGGCAGCCTGGGGAGGACGAGCCGGGGCCGGGGCCGGCGTGGAGGGCGCGGGGAGACCCACACCGCGCCGCGCGCCGCACGGACCCGCGCGCCGCACGGGGACACCCCGGGCCCCGCAAACCCGAGCGCGGCCGCCGCGGGAGCAACAAAGGAGCCGGAGCCCCAGAAGTTGCCCGCCGGGAAGGGAGGGCGCGTGCGGCGGGCGCGTGCGGCGCGGCGGGCCCGAGTGTGAGGACGCGTGTGTGTCCGCGCGTGTGAGTGTGAGTGTGAGTGTGTGCGCGCGCGGCGGCTGGCACCGGTGGGCCGGGGCTCAGGGTCCCCCAGGCAGGAAGCGGGGGCCGCAGGGGCGGCGGCAGCAGCAGGACAAGGCAGGGGACGCCGCGCCCCGCGCACCCGGTCCCTCCATATGGAAGAAGCTTTTTTGGATGACTGAACTCGCAAACAATTCCTTCTTTTGCTTCTCCTGCTTAGGAGCCTCCCATTACCGCGCGCGGCGAAGGAGGAGGGGAGCAAGGAGGCGGGCAGGAGGGGGAGGAGCGAAATGGAGCAAAGAAAAAGACTTGGAAAGGAAGCTGGAAAAAAAAAAATAGTCCCCCAAACTCCGGGGCAGTTTTGCTCCAAACACCCACTTTGTTTCTGTCGTGCCTTGGTTCTGCGCTCTCACCCAACTTCTTTCTTTTGCCGTTATCGAAAGCATTGCCCTCTGCCGTTCTCACACCCCCACGGGCTCGCCTGAACCCCCTCATTTTCTCACTTCACCTGAGACCCTTGCTCTCACAGGCTCCCCCTCCTTCCTCTGGCCCACATTCCTTTTCCCGCAGGCTTTTCCGAATAGTCCCCTCTCAAAAGTCTGTTCCGTCATTCTGCCAACAAACTTTTGGACACATGATTTAAAGCAAACTTTCTGTTATTAATCAAAGCCCCCCTTCCCTCTCCCCCCCCCCGAAAAATAAAGTGGGGCAGCGACTGTGGAGAAAATGATTGGGAATCTAGTCTTCGTGAAGCCCCAACTGCGGCTCCAGACCCACCCAGTAGGTTGGGGAGGGAGGGTTAGCCCCGTCCTCCTTGACAGCGCCCTGCCCTGACCTCCATTCATCATCTGGGATGGGGGAAGCAAGGGAAAGGGTGAAAGGGGGAAGGGGGCAGAGGGACAGTGGCCCCAGAGAAAAGTTCGGTTACCTCCTTGTGTGTATGTGTTACACCCTCCCTGTAGTGTTGAAAAGGGAGCATTGAGAGGAGTGATTCTCCAACTTGAACTGCATCAGATCCTCCTGGGAGGTTTATTAAAACACAGACTGCTAGGGCTCACCCCAGAGTTTCTGATTCAGCAGATCCAGTGTAGGTCCCAGAATGTGGGTTTCTAAGTTCTTAGATGCTGCTGGTCCAGCATTTAATAAAAACCACTTCAGGTATTGAAAAGTCAAACAATGTTGAGCTGATGGCAAATTGGGTCTTCTTACTATTCTTTAGGGATGAAACAGACTGTGAAGGATCATCCAGCCCATACTTGCATATTGCAGCTGAGGAAACCAAGATGCTAAGTTGTAAGCCATTGGTTCAAAGTGAGCCTCAAATTTGTGCCAAAATAGTGGGGAAGCTCTTCTGAAGTTGGTCAGGCAGGCCAAGAGTGGGGAGTATGAAGATACCTGACTCCCCCCTGGGGCAGGTCAGCCACTGTGTGACTTTGAGAAAGTTAATTATCCTTTCTGGGCCTCAATTTGCTGTTTTGTTTCTCATCAGCAAAAATACATACTTTATGCTGAGTATATGATTTAAGTTGAATCTGAATAAATGTTTAAAAGGGTATTATAAACATTTTATTCAGTATATCATGACTCATTTTGGTCTTTTTTTTAAAGATTTTATTTTATTTATTTTATTTAATTTATTTTATTTATAGAAGAACCGGGGTACAGGCCAGAGGTGCGGGAGGGTGAGAGGATTCACCAGAGACAGAGTGGGGAACAGAAGAGGCAAATTGACTGAAGTACACTGCTGAGGGGAGCAGCGGGCGAGACAGGAGAGGTCTGCTCGCCACATTTTGATCATTGGTCCACTGCATGTATATTGGTGGTTCCAATAAGCTATACCACATAGCCTGGGTGAATAGCAAGTTCGTTTAATCACATTCTGTGATGTTCACACAATGGCCTGGGAGCCACCCAAGGTACAGAAATCTTAATTCCCAAGGGGGTGGGTCAGCTAGCTTTCTACAGTGAAAATACTCCCTCTTTCCACAGCTCCAAGCTGGGTATCCATTTTACTGTTTTTCAAAGATGACACCAAAATTCCACTCTCCCAGCAATGTGGGGTTCTAGTAAGAACAGGAGGAAGTACAGGAAGTTCTCAGATTGGTTCTTCTATTCTCCTATATAGACTACCAATTGCTCAGCATCTCAGAGATGCCTCTTACCCCTTTACTTTGTCTCCCCTAGGACTTTCTCCTGGGACTCCCCACTCCCTCCCCTCTGGCCTTTGGGTTCATACACCCTGGGTTCTGAGTCAACATGTCAGAGCACAACAGAAAACAAAAATTGCAGTCTTTACCAACACTATTTAGCCAGGGAAAAAACCCATTGCCTTGTACCTCCCTCTGTCCCAGGCTGTGAACCTGTCTGCTCATCTTTCTCATAGAGTTGAGACAGAATGCAGCTCACAGCTTAATTGAGAAGGCTTAACTCCGCAGCATCAAGCAAACTGTTGGCACCTCAGATATGTTTATTATTTTTATGGCTCTCCGTATCAACATAATTGTGTTTATTTTAAATACTTCTCTAAGAACACTATATCTCTGAATTCTCTCCTTTGCCTGGAGCCAGTTCCTTACCTAATTCTCTCTTCTTCCCCTCCCCTGTCTGTTAGCTGTCCTATGCTAACCCTCCCCACCACGCTCTGGCCCCTCAACCATTTAGATAGAGTCTGGGCTACTCTCCACTCTCAGTTCATGGTGATTACCTCGGGCATCGTCCTTTCTGGGCCTCTACCAAGAAAAAAGTATTTAGTGTGGAAATGATCATCACATTTAGTATGTTGGTAGGGGGGATGCAGGGACTATCGTCTGATATAAGTCACTGTGTCACTAAGGTTGTGCAGAGTGAACTGGAAGGAATTCCAGAGAGGGACAATATGAGAGGGGTGATCCATCCTCAGTGTGCTGCCAACACTCTCCCTGTATCATATATACAGGGAACCCCTTGGTTGTGAGGGGTCAATGGAGAGAGGATTCTGCTGGGGAAATGATGAAGATGTGGACAATAAAAAAACAGCGATTTGATAATTCCCCCATCTTAATAGTAATCTGTTCTCCTGATTATAAAATATGTTCATTGGAGAAAATTTAGAAACTATAGAAAAGCACAAAGAGAGAATAAAAATCACCTGAAATTTATGTACTTCATCTATTCTAAACATGTAATTCAACTGAATCAGAATTGGAAGATATTTAAAAGGGCAATATAAACAGGATATCTTTATTTGATATTTTGTACTGATTTTTTCTTATGCATTGGATGATTTAAGCAGAAGTCAGTTTCTTCACTGATTTATTCACAATTTGCAAAATTGTATTCATTGTTTATACAAGTTATTATCCTGCTTTTAAAGTTTAACATTCTAATGTGATTATTTCCCCCCATGCTTGTCATTGAATCTTTTTCAAACTTTAACAACTGTGTACTATTCCATCAAAGAGAGAGATTGTTATTTATGCAACCATTGGTCTATTGTCATATATTTAGATTGTTTCCATTTTTATTATGATCATGCATTGCAGTTGACTAAACATCTTGTCATAAACCTTTATTTATAATTCTGATTATTCCCTAAGGGTGAATTCCTATGAGTAGGAGTTTTGGATCAACAGATAAAACATTTTAAAGGCTTTGGGCTGGTATTGCCAAATTGTCCTCTAGTGGTTCCAATGTACATTTTCATCTCTCAGATCTCTCTCAACAACAATGAGATCATCACACACAGCGGCCCAAGTGGAGACTTGATTGAATTATCCAGTTTGGATGACTGTACTACCCAGATAAAGAAAACAACTGCCAAATATTCACTACAGTGGAGACAACATTCAAGTAGGAAGAGTTGAACAATAATTGCATACAATATAAACTTAAATATACTATGATCTTATTTAGCTTTCCAACAACCCTCCTAGAAATAAACTAACGTTTATTGAGCACATACTTTTTATAGTCATTGTGCTGGATTCGGTGTGTACATCCAGCAACCCTTTGCGACAGGTTAAGTATCTCCATTTACAGATAAGAAAAATTAAATAACTTGCCTAAGATCTGCAACAACTAAGTGGCAGCACGAATTCCAAAACGAGGGTTTTTCCAGGGCAATGCACTTGCCGTTCCCCCGCAACTGTTTCACAAGTCACAGGCTACTTAGCAGAGTGAAAAAGGGATATTTAGAAGATGCTTGAATTTTGTTAAATTTTGTTAAATTATTAAGAAAACTTTTGTGGGCTTCCACATGACTTTTTTTTTGATGGTCTTTATTTTTTTATGTTTAATATATTTTATCTTATATAATTCTTACATCATTTTTCATTTTTGCACAATGGGGATCTTGCTCAGTGAAATAAGCCAGAAAGAAAAAGAAAAATACCAGACGGTCTCACTCATAACAGGAATTTAGAAAACCTAAATAAGGGACCAGGAAAAAGACTAATTATAATAAAGAAAAAATCAAAATCAACAAGCAACTATAAACCAGAGACACACTACTGGGGTGGGAGG